ACAGTCCAACATTGACTGGATTTATTGAAGACATGTTAACAGTCATTCCACCATTGTTCAACTCCACTTTCTACTGTAGGTCTGTTACAGCATATGTGTGTGTGAGAGAGAGAGAGATCTAAAATCTCGACCTTTAATATAAACAGGAGTTTTAAAAGGAATCTGCTCTGCTAAAACATTCCAAATAGAACTGGAAAATATAACCAACAAACAGTGCTCATATTTATGTGTTAAAATCAATGGTGATTAAAAATGTTTTTAATCTATAAAATATTTTTGCTCGTGTTTAAATTGTTTATTTTGTGCAAGGGACTCATTGTCATACTTTTTTCCTTCTTGCACCAACGTTTGTCGTTATCTAATTTGAAATGTACTAATTCCTTATTCTTGCGGAGGGAGGGTGAACCACTGACTTGAACAGCTGCTTCATGACCCAAAAAACTGTCAGTCTTTCCCTGGAATAAATTGTGGAATATACCATATTTGGGTACAGGGGAGTTGGAAACGTGCGTTTTCGGGAAAACGGGTGCCACAAGCAAATGCGCACATTTCAGCGGCATCACAAATCGCATCAGCGCATTACAGACCTGAACTCGTTAAATGCGGCTTGTTTGAAATGCAAGAAATGCAATAAGCGGGAAACAGTTTGAAGTTCACCTCCCCTGTGTTTCAGCGCCGTGTTTCTAGAGGACCCATAGTAGAATCAATTCAGCGAGAGGGGAGCTTGAAACGGTCCACTCATGCTTTCCTCCGAGTCTGAGAGAAACACAGTTGAAGTGAACACACAGAGCAGTCGGCTGCAGTACATGCTCACAACATGCAGGCTCCCATCAGCAACGAAAAACAACAGCAGTCACTCTGCATATGATTACAATAAAACTCAACCAAACATCATGCAAAGATCTATATGCCACTGCAGGGATGATATAGGAGTTTCATGGTGATAATAGATTACTTTTGGAAGTATAACTCCCTATATAATGCCACATATACACTGTAAACCCTTTAAGGAATATTAGTCATATAATTTGAAAATTTGTTTATGAGTTTGCTCTGTCAAACATTCCACCAACATGTGAAGTTCAGTTCCAGGATTTGTGGACTTCAATCTTGCAAATGTTATGAATGCAGATGTCACTATAACCTCATCAGGTACACATGACTTCCTCAGAGCCGTAAAGGAAGCAGATATTCTTTTAAACCTATTATATAAAAAAAAAGCTAAATATACAAATACATAAAATAAAATAAAATTAATTTAGAAGAAGAAACTCAGCCAGTGGCATTCACAGAACAGTTCATCTTGTAGTCTTCAATTGTATACAACTACTGAACTAATGAAACTTGTGCAACACTACAATGACTGAGTACATATGCTCAGCTTCACACTCGCTTTGGCGTACAAGCATTCATAATAGCTTCTCCAGTTTGTATTGCACTGCTTATCACTCAGAAACCTCACCGCATTAGCTGGACTTGCCTTGCTCAAGGGCATGTGCTGAGAGAGAAGAGGGCCAGGACATTCATGTGCACAGTCAGTTGAGCTGCTCTTGAACAAAGTGCTGTGCAGCAGGTATTTCCAAAATAGGAAGGAAATTACAGCATATGAATTAGAAAGTTGAGTCCAACGCTCTTAAAAATGTACAGACTTTATTGTGTTTTCAAAGATCAGAAAATCTGGGGTCAGATTAGAGAAAGTAATCTGACCTTTTAACCACAATCATGTTGCAACAACTGCTGCAGACATCTGGCTAAACGGCTGATGTAAGCGTAGGGGTATTACGTCACACCTTTCATGTAGATGCAGTGGTTTAATTATGACAATGTGCATAATGTTTTTTTGTCACCACGACAAATGACTAATATGGCTACAGTTATGGCATCCATGTACAGTACTCACATGCATCTGTGTGCATGTAATTTTCATGTGTTTGCACATGCTTTGTTTTTTCACCACCAAAGTCACCTTCATGGGTGGCTCCATCATAGGAGCATCTTTCAGAATATAACAGATTAACTTTGCAGGTAGGGATGTTGATGAGGTCATTACTTCCCAAGGTCACATCTACACACATCCAACTATAGGCCCACTGGCGTTCAAGCTCCCCACCTCTTCAGTTTGTATAGAGACTCAGTTTGAGCTCCTGCCTGCGTGCAGATCTGAATAAGGCAGAATAAGCCATATCCAACAGCTAAGCCTTATTGTAATACTCAGTGATGGAACAGGCATTTCGGCCCCTTTAGGCTTCCTTCACCCTGTGAAGAGACATGAAAAAGGCTGGCTAGCTTCATGTTACATCATCCTGGGCATTACTGACAGTATTTACTATAGCTCCTATAGACTTTCAATCCCTGCGTGCATATTGCAACTTGCTGCAAAGTTGCAAGCTCTGTTATGCAATGACTGGTGGTCAGATTAGCACTTTTAGCTTCTCTTCTCCATGTTCATACACCTGAAAAAGGCCAGCTAGACATAGACAGTCTACAAAGCCTGAAGAAAAAGTATGCAAGCACTCTAAGGTGTCAGGCCCAATCATCTGTTTATGGAACTGCACAGCATTATGCACTAAAGGAATGACCTTATTTGCACGATATCGACATCTGTCGTAATTTAACCAGGGACCCCACTGTCTTCTCTTGCCGGTGTTTTTTCCAGCTGTCTGATGTTTAGTGGCTATTCTCTGGTGAAGGTAATCCAGGATGGGTTGCAGAAGACCGAGAAAATGACACCACACACACACAACCACCCACTTGGACTCCACTGTCTCCCAGGACCTAAAGTGGTTGTCCAAGATCAGGACCATCACCAAGAAGGCACAGCAGAGGATGTACTTCCTGCGCCAGCTCAGGAAGTTCAACCTGCCTCAGGAGCTGCTGATTCTACAGAAGAGTCGCTGAGTCTGTTCTCTGCTCTTCCACCACTGTCTGGTTTGGCTCAGCAACCAAACAGGACAAGAACAGAGTCCAGCGGACAGTCAGAACTGCAGAAAGAACAATCGGCATCTTCCTGCCCTCCATGGAGGACCTACACACCCCATAGATTAAAAGAAGGGCAGAGAAGTTTTTTGCAGACCCCTCACACCCCGGATACAAACTGTTTGAACTCCTCCCCTCTGGGCGGTGCTACAGGTCACTGTACAGCAAAACAACCAGACATAAGGTCAGTTTCTTCCCCTGGGCCGTCACTCTGATGAACCTATGACTGTATAATAGAACGACGACCCTCAGTGCAATAACTAGTAAATACACTTTAGTATATATCTGGGAACTGCATCTAAACTGTATATCTATATCTATCTATCTATATAAGTAATTTTATATTTATTTTCCTAATGCACATTCCTTTCTCTTGTTTGCACATTCATTTTCTTTTTTGTTCTCTCAGTCTCATCTTGTTTATTTGTTGCCTTATTGAAGAGCACTGCACATGCACATTGAGAGCCACTATACCAGAGAGACATTCCTGGCCAATAAAGCCAATTCTAATGCTAAAGTCACTGTTTTTAGTGTGTGGACCAATCAACATTTAATTAAAAAAAATAAGTTGTTACAGTTAGAGATGGCAGCAGCGCTTCCCAGTCCCTGTATCTTTTCTGCTCTCAGAGGAAGAGCCTCTCCTCCAACAGTTCCTTTTGGACTTGTGCAACTGTTCAGCATTAATGCACACAAAAAGATGGACTTGTACAACAGCAACATCTGTACTATATGTGTATTAATTTGTCTCCACTGAGTCTCTATGGAAGGCAAATCTCCCTGCTGTACAGTGCAACATCTCTTTCTGTATTCCTCTCCCCCTCATGAGACAATGAACACATTGAGGCAAATCTGTTTCCACAGCCTGTGAATAAGAGACAGCCAGCTTTGTTTTGCATGAGTATGTACACACACACACACACACACACACATATATATGCTGGTATTTTTGTGTGTGACAGATAAAGAACAAATGTTTTTGTGTATGGATGCACATATACTTGTGTATACGTGTGTGTGTGTGTGTGAGAGGCCCGCGTCACACGTTCAGCATGTGAGTCACTTGTGTAGGGCTTTAAGTAGTGAGTAAGAGCCCTCTACTCCCTCAGCCGTCTTTGCTCTCACTATCTGGGGCCCGAACACACAACCAGAGATCTGCTGCTTTCTCCTCTGCCTCTGCTCATCACCCAACAGGTTCCCCTGTCAATAATGAATGCTGACAATGCACCGTATGTCCATGAGTGTGAAATAGGAGATGGAGTCAAAGGGAGACAAACATATGACTGCAATCACCTGCCTCTCTATTATACCAGAAAAGCGGTAAAACAAACGCAAACTTTTTTCCCCCTCCTTCACCAGTGCTGCTTCTTTGTCAGAAATATCAAGAGTGAGGAAACTAAGGATGCGTTTTTTTTTAAATAACAGCTTCGTCCAGAACTCTCTTCTTTGGTGGCCTGCTGGGATAATTGCAGGTGAGCCATGGAGGAGATGGAGAACCGCAGTGCAGAGAGAGATAAGTAAACACACAAGCGACATCTGCGGTTGATGACTAACGCTGTAGTGACTCTAGTACACTCTGTGTTTCTTCAAGACTGCTGGAACAAAGGTTGCAGTGAGAGCCCTGCTGGTTTGCTGTAATTATTCTCACTGAGCCATAAAACATAGACAAATATTCCTTATCCAAACAGGATATCACTTCTCATAGTGTGCACAAAAAAAATATTTAATTCTGGGAATGTGCCCTTTTATTGTCAATGTGTGAACATATTTAGAGCCCTTACTGTTTTGCTTTGTTATTTTTTAAGCTGGGACTTCTTTTACATGGCAAACCAACAACACATAAAACATTTTGGGTGCAGTGTACAACTGTTTTTGGACATATTCTACCATCTAGTGGTGGCGCTTGTGCCGTTACAGGCCGGGGATGTATGCCAGTACCTGAGATCACAGGGGGTCAGTAAAACACGCTTATCTTTTCTAATATCAAAGCTATGAGAAAATGAAAATGCTCAAGAAATGGTGTGAAAAATGTAATAGTTAGCATTTGATTGTCTTTATTTTCACGAAATATAGTAAATTCACAACAAAGAACAAAAAACAAAACTAAAAAAAATGGCAATTTTCAGTGAAACTATGTTGGCATTTGGACAGAGATGGAGGTAGAGTAATTAGAAATTAGGACCCTGAAAGTCGCTGAAAGTTCACTTTGTAAATTTATCAGTGAAACTGAATACTAAGGAGATTAAAAACAGCAGAGGAAAAAAAAAAACGACTTAATTAAACAGTACTGTTATTTGAGATTACATCTGTAGCACCTTGTTCATTACAAGGTCTCTGTAGTGCTACCAATTTTCCTTTATCACTTGTTCCCCCAGCAGACGTGACGTAGAGATATACTGTAGTTTCCATTCAGACTATTCCGGGGGCAACACAACTGAGATCCATGTGGGTGAGATGTGTGAGACGTTTTCATAGTGGAATGTTTTTATTTAATGCACTTAACCCAGTCAGCAGCCTCACTTAAAACTATATTCAAAACTTGAGACTTCATCAGATTTCGTCCTCACCATATGTGGCTCCTTCCTCCTCGTCCTCTGGTTCCATCAGGGTGCCAGGACAGGGCTCCATGGTAACAGCGACGCCCATGCCGCTGCGTCCAACGGGCATGTCGGTGACATGCATCCATTCATTACTTTCTGGACAGTAACACTCAACACTGGACAGGAAGCCGTGCTGGTTAAAACCTCCTGAATGGACACACACAAACAAATGTCATGTTAAATGAACCTGTTAATAAAACAATTAGGGAAGTGTTCAACAGTTGTGTCAATGAATAATTAAACTCAATTAATCTATCTTTAAGCAATTTAATTTCCAGCTCATAAATGGATTAGTAGAACAATTAAAAAAAACCTTCTCTTTGATTTTCCATTGATTAAATTTTGTGATGTGGGATGTTATTACTTCCTGATCTGACAATTAATTTTTCTGCTTCACGTCTGTTTGCTCTGAACACTGGAAACATAGTTTGTTTAATAAACAAACACTGAGTCACTGAGCCATGTTTGAAATAAAACAGTGCAGCCTAAATTGTAGGAACAACGGCTTGCAATGGCCACCTCCTGGCCTGACTGTCTACTCATTAATCAGAATCATTTAATTACTTCATGAGCCTGGATTATGATTCTTCTAAATGTATAACCATTGTCTTTTTTTCTTGGGCTCATCAGCATCAGCACTGCAATTTTTGAAATAAATCAGTGTTAGAAATGAAGGATTTTCTATCATAAACTGAAACGTCTCAAAAATAAAACAAGTTTTTGTGGCTGTGATTAATCAGAATCATTTAATTACTTCATGAGCCTGGATTATGATTCTTCTAAATGTATAACCATTGTCTTTTTTTCTTGGGCTCATCAGCATCAGCACTACAATTTTTGAAATAAATCAGTGTTAGAAATGAAGGATTTTCTATCATAAACTGAAACGTCTCAAAAATAAAACAAGTTTTTGGGGCTGTGACTGCAGCCCCATCCAAATGCTTTCTATAAAAATAAAAAATTATTAAAATAAATCTAAATACTAAAAACCATAATAGTAATTAGAGAAGAAAAAACAACATCATTAAAAAAATGGCAGACAAGATTTAAATAATTGTATTAAAATGTATTTAAAACATCTGATGAACCTGACGAAGTAAACATGTTGGCCTTACTAGCGTTAATAAAAGTTTCTTGGTCATAGATTGTCTGCTTTAACAACTTTGACACATGCTAACTTCTTCCAGCTCTGCAGTAGATACTCTGTGCAAAGCTTCTTTTCAATTAACTCACGTTTGAACTTTCATTCTCATTATAATTTGATTAATGCTGCAACTGACCGAGGACGAAGATGCGCCTCTGGAGGACTGCGACTCCGTGTGCGCTGCGGCAGTGCTGCATGGAAGCTGCAGGCTCCCACACGTTCCTGGCTACATTATAACGCTCCATAGAGCACAGCTGAGTCCTCCCATCATAACCTCCTATAGCGTACAGGTAAGAGTTCACACACACCAGCCCTGCAAAAATGGAGAGAGAGGGAACAGGAAGAAACAGTTTGGCATTTTGGAAAAAAAAAGAGGCTTATCTGAGTTTAAATAGGAACTTCAATGTTGATATCACACATAGACTGTATATAAAAATGGATGACAGTAGCCAGAAGTGAAGCCACTGTGAGTTGATCACCCCCTTGTTGGCTGGTTGGAGTCTAGGTCATAAACCATGTTATTGAATGGGACATGAGCCAAAGTAAATGTTTCCCAAAGATGATTTCTGACATTTCAGGTAGATATCATGTTGATTTGTGCACAAGTAGAAGTTAGTTTTAAATAAGTTATTTGACAACAGAACAATATACACAATATAATGTGTTTTTGGTGACTGACTGCTCTGATACAGTGACTCCACCTCTGGTAACTACTGTTGCTAAGTGTGCCACAAAGGCAAGACAGACGCTGCTAAATTTTGTGATATTTTGGTTTCACTTTTGCATTTTGATATACAGTCTGCTGTATGTATCACATATATTTATATGATAAATATGTATCTGAAATCAGTAGCCGGGCAGCTTAGCATAACAACTGAAAACAGGTAGCTTTGCTCTGTCTGATACCAACATGAGCTGGCTATCAGCACCTCTAAAGCCCAATAAACAACACTTTTCTAATTTGTATAGCCTTTCTAAAATCAGAAGTGTAGCAGGAGGACAATTTCTTGGCCAGGAGCAGTGGAGACTCCAGGAATCAAGTTATTTAACAAGCTTTAGAGTTCCTGGTAGGCTGGATTCTGTTACCTTCTGACTGCACGAGGTTGGCTCTGTCCCCCCATTTCCAGTTTTTATGCTAATATAAGCCAAACAGCTCTGCTGCTCTTTATTGCATGTACAGATGTGTGAGCGGTATCAATCTTCTCAAGGCAAAGCAAATTTTCCAAAATGTCAAAAAGGTCAGAATGCACACACAAACATGTTAAATGAGATTAAGTGAAACACATAGATATACATGCATACAATTTATAACTATTATTGTGTGTTAAATGAGATTAAGTGAAACACATATATATACATGCATACAATTTACAACTATTATTGTGACAGTCCTTGTAACTGACCGTAAAGCCCCCTCTCAGATTCATTATCATCCACTCAGCATAAGGGCGCTGAAGAGGTTTGCCCCGGAACGTGAATGAGGAAGCGTTGTATTGTTATATTTTCCCGGTTTCATTTCACTCGCCTCATGACCTCCGTGGAGGATGTAAGCAAACCATAATGTCGTTTGTACTGGGGATTTGTCTATTGGTTTGATGCTTATTGTTAATGTAAATGCTTACATAGTTCTCTGGTAACTTTTCTCGCTATACGTTCACGTCGTTTTGGTTCTATCTTTATCTCAGAAAACACGCAAGCTAGTAGTGCTTCAGGCCGAAGACGCAACTAAGGTATCCAGGTTTTATTGCGGCCTTGGTGAGCGCAGCAAGGTTTGTGAAATATGGTGTTCTTACTTGTATAAGGTTGTAGAAATACACTGATTGTAAAGTGTCATATTTCTCGTAATTGTTAGTCACATTTTTACATATTTTAAAGTAGCAAACTTGTGTTTCTATATGTTTATTCTGTATTTCAGTTTTCACGGTGCTCGAAGCTGGTCATTGCCGACTGCAAATAAACATACCGCACCTGTAGAGACTCTCTGCTCATTCGTGACGCCAAGGGCCGTAACAGTCCTAAATCAAAATGTCCTCATTCTGTTCAAGTCTCAACTTGGCCCTCATAAGGACAGAAACTCACCCAGTCCACTGCGTACAGAGCTCATGGGAGCCAGCTGGTGCCATGTGTCATTGTCAGGTTGGTATTTCTCTGCAGTGTTCATGCGGTTCTGTCCATCATATCCCCCCACCACGTACAGAACCTCCCCGCAGGCTGCCACTCCGGCACCCAGACGGGCAACTGACATCGGACAAACAAAGGACCAGCGATCAGACTCTGGATCCCACCTGCAAACCAAACAGCAGTTGTATAGAGCTTGCAGTCAATGCTGTGGTAATCTACCGACACATCCTAGTGACATTACATATTAGGGGATTTTTTTAACCTCTGGATAAAACTAGGCTAGCTAGCAAAGACAGCTATCTCCTGGCTGTAGTTTCATATCAGAGTGACACTGATCTCACGTCAAGAAAGCAAATATCCATATTTGCAAAAATGTCTTAAAACTCCTTTAATATTGAAACCTTTAAACTGCTGATAGGTGGGTGATTGATATTTCATCACCTACCCTCAGACACTGGTAAAGTCCCAATGAGAAAGGCACTAAATTCAAGTCCCTTCTTTGGCCACTGTGTTGACAATGACTCTGCGCTCTGAACCTTGAAATTACTGCACAAGCATCTGCAGCACATTTCAAGAACCAATAATAAAACATGATTAACAATTAAGCAGGGAGGCACAGCATGACTCCCCTTTGAATCTCTTGCATGTTACTTGGATTCCTTTGGGAAGCATCCTGAAGAGCAGAGCCTTTACTGCCAACTATTGTTAATATCAACACTCTTATCTTCTTTGATGTGTTAGGCCACCTTTCATTGTATTTAGCATCTTCTCATGAGAATCCTTCAAAGTGGTGTCTGATGAGTTCTAATAATTCTCCCGACTAGCATCTTTTAGAAATCTAAACCCATGCGTTAAAAAGGTAAAGGTTATATTTGAAGCACAGTTCTTTGGGTATGAAAAAAGAATGTCAAAATCAGACCCGAGTTGTGTTAAATGATTCATAACAGCATTAAAACTCTTCCCTGCTCTGCAGTAGCTGCAACAAGGGGTAAAGTATTCCCCACCAGATCGACATTCCTGGGAAGTGTGTCTCAACTTGCTTCAAAAGAGCCCCGTGTTGTTGTCTAATTAGGCTAAGAGGAATACCTGAAGACGTCTTGACTGCTCTTTATGTTGAAAGGTAGCTATTCACTTAACCTCTCTCCTGCCATTATCCATACTTTCAACAGTAACTGCACTTCATCTGAGTATGTGTGTGCTCATTACATTCATCCTAGTAAATATGTTATTAAAACTCAAATTACGTCTCGAGTGCCTTGTTGACAAACTAAATCCTCACACACACACACACACACACACACACACACACACACTGAGTGAGCACCTCAGAAACATCTCACCTCTCTACCGTGTTGTGATGTGTCGAGCCTTGGGATCCGCCGACTGCGTAGATGCAGCCATCCACCACAGCCACCCCGATCCTGTTCCTGGGGATGTTGAGGGAGGCTCGCTGGCTCCACTGGTTGGTCATTGGGTTGTAGCAGGACAGAGCGCTGGACTCTGTGTTGTTTTGAAGTGACATGTTCCGACCCCCAACCTGGATTCCAGAAAAGAGGGATTAGAAGAGAGATTATGATGAGTAAAAAAAGCACAAAACTAAATCAGAGAGCTTTCCATCACACTGTATATAATTGTGTTGTAGTGTATCCCATTATGTGTCATTCAGAGAGTAGCATTTCACTGGTAGTATTACATAATGCAACTGATGTAACCTACGGTGTAGAGCAATCCTAACAGTGCACAGGCTCCCAGACCACTGCATGGAGTGTCCATGTCAGCCAGTTTTAGCCAGACATTCCTCGTGAAATCAAAAGCCTCCGTGGAGGCCAGTGAATGTTGCTTGTATCTGAATACAGAAAGGGAAACAGTGAGTGGGTAAATAAACAGATGAATGTCCAGTGTAAAATAAAGATTTTTACTAGGAATAGGTCATATAATCTAGAACTTAAAGCATACATATATATTTTAATCCTAAAGATTGAGAAAGAATAAATGATGCACCACAATGAATCATGCATGCTTGAAATGTGGTTGTACAAAGTAATTCATGCAACATGCAGACATGTAAAAAAAACAAACAAACCAAACCCTCACTTAAGCTGAATAATTTATTAAATACACCTCATTTCAGTCTATATGACCTTCATCAGGTATGTCAGTAAACATCTCTTCCTTCCACTTACATACACCATCAGTTGCCCCCAATCATCCATTTAGAGCAGGGGCAGGGAATCCTGGGTCCTCGAGGGCCGTCGCCCACGAGGACCAGGATTGCTCACCCCTGATTTAGAGTAAGGCAGGGTTCAAATCAGTGAATCACCTCTATTATCCACACCCATTAACTTACAAAACAATGAAATATTATGACAAAAATACAAATGTTAAATCCATGAAGATGCCAAATAAGCAGTTGAAAGCAAAAAATATCCTACAGGTATAACAGCAAACACAGGAACATAAAATAGCTTTTTCCAAAATATTTGGATGCATTTCTGCTAAAAGCCACTGGGTGGCAGACTGAGACACCTCCTGGATCCATCTAACACGATGTAAACATAACTGACAAGTTTGCCAAGTGACACAAACACACACACAACTTGTACATTGTAAGTGGTCATCTAGTGGCAATAAAATGTCTCCTAATCAGTTTCTCACTATCAAAATCAGAAACAGTCCCAAAAGGTTTGTTATGGCCTGATCATGTCTTACATTAAGCGTGAAATTGGTAATGCACTGCAGAACAAAGCAATGTTGTTGAGAAAACAAGACAAGATAAATACCCGCCGGCCACATAGATAAGCTGAGTTCCGCGGTTAGGTGCAGGAGACAGCCTCCTCAGTGTCATATCCTGGAAGATCTTAGAAAGGAAGTCCTTACAGGTATTGGCCTGAAGGAAAGGACAGAATATTAAAACTTGACATGAGAATAGAAGTGAGTGAGCATTGAAAAAAAAAATCTTTTGAATATGTTACATATTGTACTGAAATACCACCAAAAAGTAGAAATCTCATCTGTTCCATAACAAGAAAACACATTGTAAAAAGCTGTGGTTTACCTTACGGAGGATGGGACAGGACAGGAGCTGGTTCTTTAAGAACTTGGGAGGCAGAGCGTAGATATGAACCGCATTCAGGAGGGCATGTAGATACTGGGCTCGACCCTCCATATCCCAGCCGACCCAGTCTGTACAGGCCTTATACACCTGGCACGGATTTATTTAGACATATAAGTATGTGGCCTGTTATTTACATGTAGATAAATTGTTGTGAGAACTAGCATCAATTGTGGAGATTTCTTTAGATGTTTGGATGAGTGCTGGGTAAAATAATAATCAAAACCACAATATCAGACTAAACATAGACCAATTAATAATTATTTTACTATAAGTACACAACTCTGTGGCTTCCATTTTTTCTGATGCTCTCTGATTAATATTTTGGTTGCTGGTCACACCGTATTTAAATGCCACATACCTCAGACTCACAAAGCACCTTCAGACTGTCCTGACTGATGAGCTCTAGCAGCTGGCAGTGAGTGAGGCTGAAGAACTCATCTTCTTTAGTCACCTAGGACCAACGGACACACAGCATGGTCAGATAAAGGCATACTGTACATTCATATTTTAGTTCTTTTTCAAATTTTGCTTTCTCATTGGGATATGTTTTTAAATTAAATTTGTCTCTTCATGAACTGGTAGGTCTAGCAGGTGTCGGAGACATTTTATTTTTATATAATTTAACCTTTAATTTACCAGATAAATCCCCACGGATCTCTCTTCTTTAAAAACTATTTTGGCCAAAATAGCAGTGTTACAGGTTTCAGACTGGAGAGTCCAACATCAAACACACAAACATTACTCAAAACCTGGCAACAGTGTATAAGAGGTTAAGGACAGAGGAACTTACAAAACAGCTGTCAATATTAAGGATGCTAAAAACAGAGACAGTCAGCAAAGGGATCATTCATCATAGAGTTTACAATAGCCTTGAATTAAGTCTGGGATACCTGATTTTTTTTAGTTCCTGTTTTGCTGTGTGAGAACAAGTGTTTTAGAGGCTGCTGAAAATCACCTCAACCACTAAACTAGAAATAAACTAAGGACTGCACATATACGTCGGTGTGTACCTGTGCTTGCTACTCTTGCATCTCACCTCATTGAAGTGTGTATTGATATACTCTCGGCTGTGCTGGTGCAGCTCCATGCAGCCGATCTCCTCAGCAAAGCGGGCGATGCCGATAACGTTAGCTGGCTCTAGGTGCTTAATGAGGAAGTCACAGCATGCCTTGGCCACATCCTCCATCTGATACCTTACAGAGAAGAACAGAAAAGGATACATTACCATTTATATTTCACACCTACAGTAAAAGGATCATTTTATTCTTATTTCAGTATGAAAGTCTGATTTAATGCATTTAACTAAATCCTGAAAGATAAATGGAGTAACAGCACAGAATATATCAAGTCTGTTATCAATTTTCAGTGACTCAATGTACTACTGCTTAATTTCGTTTACCTCATAGCAGCCAAAAGAACGTGTAACACACACTTCTCTCCCACTGTGATGCGGGAGGTGTATGCAAAGTCAATGAGCATTCCAACCACCTGGGGACAGACATCACACAAGGTGACCTCCGAGGCGCTGCACTCTCTGAAGCTGCTGGTGAACATGGCTCTGAAGTAGGGGCTACAAGAGGCCAGTACAACCCTGTGCACCTGGGAAAAAAGACTGAATCAACGACTACAACCCTGTGCACCTGGGAAAAAAGATACTATAGTTGGTCAACGATTGAATGAAAAACAGCCCTTATCTATGGAAACCCAAAGGCTGGAAAACCTTTGTGGCTCATGCGCCAGGCAAGCAATTTGACCAAACATCATCTGAGAGTCTGGTATCCAGTTCCTTTAATATATACAGGGTGTAACATTAGTGAAGTGGACTATGGAAGCAAATGGATTCACAGAATATGCACAGTGAGCCACAGAGTGACACAAGTGCCAACCAACTCCTGTGTACAAAGTATTAGGCAGGTGGTCATAATGTTATGGCTGGTTGGCATATAGATGTAGTCGTCTGGGAACATGGTGTGAAGATAGGGAACAACAGGTTAGGGGTAACAATCTAGAAGCTTAAAAGCATCCACCATCAATGTTTGCTGGTGATAAAGTGAGTTGTCACATTGTTACCCCATTACTCCAAATCACAAATACAAACTGGGAAGTACTTTGACTTCTCTGATAACCTTTTACTGACTTTGTTCAGTCTCAGAATTCCATTCCCTGCTAGCATTTTAAAACTGAGAAAAACTTCCCACTGATTTTGGACCATTTAATTTAGACAGTGTATCACCTTGAAGTCCTCTGTTCTTTCCTTGTACGCAACATGTAGCACCAGATCACACAACATCTCTTGCTGTCTGAGCTCATGCATGACTGCCAGGGACCTGGAAGCATGATTCTCCACAGTGTAGTCAAGGTACCCAGACCCATGCATGGAGGGAACTACAATAGCTGAGAAGTCAGAATTACATGTGGGACGTTTCTTCCTCATAGCGCAATGCATTGTGGGTAGAGATGAAGAGGAGGACACCCACTTTTTTTTGAGTAAATACCTTTCCAGTCTTCTATAGTTTAAAGTTTTGAGTTGTTATCCCAATGGGTCTTTTAATACATTACTGTACAGGCTCCGCTGAGCGCATGTCTTTAGTTCATCCATTCTTCTGTTAATTTAACAAAAAAACTCTATTCACTCACTGGACATCTCCAAAGAAATTAGGGATGAAAACAGCATAGTGACATTATCCATTGGTGATTCCAGACACAATCAGGAGGCAAGCAGTGCACAGGAAAAGCCAGCTGCTGCATTATCCAGGTCATACGTTTCCCAGCACAAATATAATGGGTAAACAAACTTGCAGACTGATGGTGAACCACATAATAATCTCACATCTACAGATCCAGGCTCCAACATGACTGATAGCATTTGTCTCAAGATCAGACAGTTTCCAAAGCACGAGTCAAACCATGATCACTCAGCTCCAGATTTTTCAGGTTTCACGGTTTAGAAAGTAATCCATTCTGACATTTGAGAAAGTCCTCTGCAATTCAGCACCCCACAGGAGAAGAGGAAGTGGTTGGAACATGTGCAAAAGTGCAAAATCAAATGTATCCTGGCAGGTCTTTCCTTAATCCCATCTGCTGTGACACGTGTCCTGCAAAAAAGAAAAGAAAAACAGTGCGAGTTAAAAAGAATGAGAGTTTTAGTGACTTGAAAAGAAGCTGATGGAATTAAAACTGCATGTAAATATGTCACTGTCATTTTCCCCTTCTGTATATGTGGGGGTGTGGGTCACAAAATTTCACTTCCCTGTAGCTGAAACAAAAAAGGGATGTCTTTTGCTGCAATGCGTTATGCAATAACTTTCTCCTAAGGAAATTGTCACTGTAGTTTTAATCTGGTTATTTGATATTTAATGCTAAATTAAACATTTATGACGTCTTTTATGATATACCAATAAATGATCATCAACGAAAGATCAAAACAATCTCAAAGAGCTTGTTCTCCCCTTCAAAATCAGCATGGTAATTTGTCCAGTTAACTGCTGTTAACTGCCCAGACAGTTAACCGTCCTGCCCAGTGTTCGGGTCATTGGAGCGATTGAGGCTCTGCAGACAATGGACAGATGTTAAGCATATAAAAAACACATCCACGCTAATTAAACCAACAGAAGGTATGAGTGAATTCCAATCAGACACCACAAGTTGTCACTGACCAAACTCTCCACTGTTCTTAAAAATCACATTCACTCCTTTGTTCCTACTTTTTCTCTGGCTGAGCAGCGCCCCCTAATGGCACAGCAGGGTGGTGTCATTAACCAGCTCATCTCAGCTTATCACAAGTCCTTGAAGGATCTTTATTATTCCACTCAGATGATGTAGATGACATAATGTAGGCTCTGTAGTGAGTTTAACATAATTGCAGGCTATGAGTTTAAATGGTGCACCTGTGTCTCATAAAGCACTAATTAAGAGTCTCCTTAGATTCTTGTCAACTAGCTGTCCCTATGGAACACTCAGCAGCTAGCATGGTGGAAAATATCAGGTAATGCCTAGAGCCTGATTGCTTTGGATTTTTGAGGTTAATTGTTAAGGTATAGTTCAACATTTTGGGAAATACTGTATGATTATTGGCTTTCATGCCAAGAGTTAAATGAGAAGATTTATACGAATTAGCTGACCACAAGCATGGGAAGCACCTACAATAGATCTTCCTTATTAGAGTGATGAAAATCAAAACATTCCTCAGCTCACCTACAGGCCGACACTATGCACCTAATTCTGGTTTACATTTATTATACTGTATGTAATGAATTTAGATTTGTAGTGCATGAGAATTACCTTCAAAATGGTAAAATTGGTGATTACAGATCTGGGCGGCCCACCACTGACATGTCAAGTCCCCCAGTGTCTGATTCTTGGAACTCTGCTATTTAACCTGTACATGCTTCCTTTGTGTTAACTCACAACAATAACGCTGTGTATCACAACTACTTGGACAACACTCAGATTCACTTAGCTATTTCTCCAAGTGACTTTGGTCTTTTAGAGTCACCCTGTTGATGCTTAGAGCATATAAATGCCTGGATACATTTAAATTAGCTTCACTTAAAGCTGCAGCAGGTTTTCAAACCTTCTTGTGGTAGAACTATACCCCAAAATGTGTCTTAATACAAAATACATTTCTGATCTTCTTGAAAAATACAAACCCAGCAGGGCTCTTTATGAAGCAGTCAGCTGGCAGAACCTCGGGGTCAGATCCAAACAGGGTGAAGCTGCTTTTAGCTACTATGCTGCACACAGATGGAACCAACTTCCTGATGACCTTTGTCAATTTGCTTTTATTTTCTGTTTATGTATTTTATATCATTTTGACAATTTTATCTTTATTGTCTTAATGGATTTTATTCTGGTTGTTGTTGATGCTGCCTAAAATACACAGTGTGCTTCTTTACACAGCGTAGAAAACCCACTACAACCGCATATCCACTGAACAGAGTGACTTGCTTCTACAGCTTGAAGTGGAACAAGTCGGCTCCTGAGTTGGACAGCAAGAAACAGTCAAAGAAACAGCAAGTATGCATCTATGCAAAGACTCTTAGATTCAAGAGCAGCAGATCCATTTTTAGCATGAAATAGACAAACACTAATCCTACAGGTGAAAAAAAACATACCGACCCCCTGGCAATCACAGAAATACTCACAGAACCTGCATCATCATCTGCATTCATTTCGTTTTTCCCCCATCAGAATCCATCACATACAATTTCCACCAAACATGTTTTTATTTTACTGACCAATGTACATGCTGGTTTTGTCTGCAGTTTTGCAAAGTTGTACAATCAAATCTGTTCAGCCTGGAGCTCCCATACCACTTACCCTACAGCCAGTCACAGTTGGTCATAGGACCAGAAATGTGAGAAGGAAAAAGGGGGGGAGAGAAATCTAGAGAGAGAAAGAGATTGTGAGGGCAACATACAGTGAGCAGAAGAGAGAATGACAAAGTGGGGGGAGAAGGGGGAGTAAGGAGCAAAAATAGACGGCGGAATTAGCTGAAGGAAGATATCACTGAAGGAGTAAAACAAAGGAAGGAAGAGATAAATACAGCCTGCCCTACTCTCCTGATCAGGGTTTAAGGGAGATAGCAGTAAATTACTGTGTAAACACAGTGTGCACAAGTTGACTACTATTAAAAACGTTGCTCAAGCCTGCAGAAACACACTGTGAGAACACTGTGACACTGCACTTTATTTATTTCAATGAGGTTTCGAAATTCCAGTTTGACCAAGTTCCTAACCAGTAACAATGCATGTAGTAAGAGTTTAGTCAAACATATTTTTTATGTGGCTGTTGACAAATGAAAAGAAGCTCACAACTCACCCATAAAAACCAAACTGATCCAGATAGTTTGAAAATATTATGCTTTGCTATTTGGGAACTCAAACAGCTCATAAGCATCTTCTGAACACATTTTTAGAAACTCCAGTCAAAAGCAGGACCTGTCTTCTGACCACACATTCACCATATTGGGAACACTAAACACACCAAGTGCCAATTTTTGATTTGATTTGATTTGATTTATTCTTTCAAGCATGTAAAGACAGTTGATATGTCAACACACATAATTTTACACATATCCAACAAATGCTAATCCAATATCAATTTGCTTATACCTAATACATGCTTGAATGGAGTAGGAAGAAGTCAGACTTATCCAGTCCTACCCCATGACATCATCTTACATCATTGGTTTGCAAGCAGTATCTCTACATAAATAATTCTCTTCTACACCACACAAGTAATATACTAAAAAAATATAACAGTGTTAACATTCTTACATAATTACAT